AACGGACACTTTGACAGTGGATGATTTACTGCAGTTCGTACACCTGTAGTTGTTTTCTCTCTTAGTTTGTATAGTTTACAAGAAACTAAGAAAAGTGATAGTATTTACAGTAACGGACACTTTGACAGTGGATGATTTACTGCAGTTCGTACACCTGTAGTTGTTTTCTCTCTTAGTTTGTGTAGTTTACAAGAAACTAAGAAAAGTGATAGTATTTACAGTAACGGACACTTTGACAGTGGATGATTTACTGCAGTTCGTACACCTGCACAGGCGATTTCCAAACATCTTCTAAAGGGAATTTTGTATTTTCTAGGTTACTGTTCTGATTCGGGATCATAGGCCTTGTACCAAAGAGAAAACGTATGAAGCCGAGACTAACAGCTTGCCCAAGGTATTTGTTGACGGTACTAACGGAACGATTAACGACGCCACTGTTTTCATTGAAGACAAGGAACCTGGTACACATGTCGAGATTCATGCCCGTCACATGTCGACTCATATTATCATCAGACAAATTGGGAAATACCTTACTTTTGCCATAAAAATACCCGAGGAAATTGCAAGGCTAGGTGAAGGAAGTGAAGCCTTACAAATGTGTTTAAAAGGTTGTCCACAACGTGAACTTATAAACTATGGCCAGTTGGTTCATGTTGCAATGCCCGTGCAGGAAGCAGTAAACATTTGTACAAAATGGAATGCCACAGACTTTTACTTTGATGCCTGTGTTTTCGATTTGATAACTACAGGGGACAAAAGTTTTAGTAAAGCAGCCGGCGATGCCCGAAGAGACGTTTACTATCTAAACCCCTCCTTTGCCAGGGGCAAGAATCGAACGTACTTTCTCCGAGAAACTATAGGCTACTCCGACAATGGAACACCAGAGAACAGCGCACCCGGGAGGCCGTTGATTCAGTTTGTCATAGTAATATGTTTATGGTTGTCATTTTGTAAAGTGATTGTGTAAATATAAGTTTTGGCAGCAAAACATTGTAAATATGTTACCCAAGATAGAATATAGACAGAAGACATTGTAAATATATTACCCAAGAGTGAAAATGACCACTAAATAGTGTAAATATATTACCCAAGAAAGAGAAACGTTTAACAAACCAAGAACTAGTGAAATAGAACTATACGGAGGAATGAATTGAACCTCGTATGTCACAATATACAAGGTCAGTAACAGTCATTAGTAGCCATGTGTTACACATTTTTATTAAGTGTTGTAGAACTATAACATGATTTGTGTGACTTCAGTACCTGTCATATTCTTTAGCCGAGGTTAGTTTTAAACTATAATTGTCACAGGTTCGCTTACACGTGTTCTAAGTTGTTTAAAGTATATTCTAACCAACATCAGTGTTGTGATAATTCTCACCTCTACCTACAAATAACCTTCAGGAGAAACTCTAATTTTTTGTGCTATAACAATATAAATTTTCAGTCAACTTCCAATTTAATTAATGTGCTCCAAAATTGTGAAGGGAAAAAAACATATCTTCTGTTCAAAATAATATTATCAAGTGCCAAGAACAATGCAGAAATGTGTGTAATGAAATATTAACTTATTTCCCCTTTTATTAATCTTCTTTCATTTATCACTTATCAATAACATATTTGAGTTATAAATGTAACAATTTATATACCGAGGTCAAATATTTTAGTAAGATAATTTTCAAATATAAAAAGTGTAAAAGTACAAGTTTTGTTTTATTATTATTTCAACGTTTCGCCTTACAGCTTCTTCGGTAGTGTTCTACTAAAAAGAATGATGTTATAAGGTCGTTTATTACTAGAAATAAAATATTTATATTTTCAATATACACGACAGAAATTAACAAAAGACTTTGAGTATAATACCCGAAGAATTTGTTAAACATTAAACACCACAGCGTAAACATTAACAAATTAATTAAAATATTCAACATCATGCAGAGGCCGGGCGTGACAAGTTTGTACCCGAAGAATTTGTTAAACATTAAACACCACAACGTAAACAATAAATTAATTAAAATATTCAACATCATGCAGAGGCCGGGCGTGACCAGGTCGTTAGCGTGTCGGATTGTAAGCCGAGGTTCCATAGTTCGTGTCCCGTTGTAGGTCAGGTACCACTATTCCATTAGAATAACCGAGGAATTGGTGGTAGGTGCTGTTGGGTAACTATCTTTCCTCTAGAATTAACTATACACTAAACAAACAGTATTATATAAAGGGATTTTAGTGGAATTTCCCTCGAGACCTGTTGAAAGATTCCGCGTTGCCCTGATTTATCAATAGCTTCTAATGAAAGAAAACTAATTACACATTAATTAATGTTAAGGGAAATAAAAAAAACGTGTTCTTCGTGAAGGGATATCTCAAATGTGTAGCCATTTCTACTGTTCTTGAACACTACTAATTAAACTATCTTTGATTACTGTTGAAAAGTTCATATATTTTACTGTTTCTGAAATATTCAGTTACGTTTATACAGGATACGTCTACTCAACACGAAACGTTTCTATATTAACTTGCTAGCTAGGCCAGGCATATTTACTGATCATTTAGTACAACACAATTCTCGTTTCCCGCCAACGCCCACCTAAGTTCTATACCTGCGCTACCGCAAGGCCGAGAGTGGTACAAAAAATGCCAGTTTCCCCTACTCGTAATAATGGGTCTGATCCATCTCTGGAGTATAGCATCTGGGGTCCATTCATGAAGAACGTTTGACGCGGGTCGTACCCCCCATTAAAATATCTCCACCTAAAGCTTGCACTTGTTCTTAAAATGTTACAAACTGGAAATCTGTGTTTGAGAATGTACATTTTAACACGCTTGGCTCCTTATATCCTCGGGGAAGTCTAAAAGAGAAAAGTGACTGAATAGCAAGTAAAGATAAAACAGACGAACAGATTAGCGTAACAGTGAGAATAGGAAAGAGATAAGTTGTGTTGTATTACAGATCAGATAATCTTTAGTGTGTTAGTAAGTATATACGTAGTTTAACAAATGTTACTTTATCAAAGGATTCAGCACAGGAAAGTAATTATTAAATAAACCACGGTGTGATATTATTACACGATCCTCTTTTTGTGGTGTAATTTAGGTCAAATAGATATCTCACCTCGGCTTATCTGTGCCATTTTGTAAAAAAGAAAAGAGTAATTTATAACTACCATATGCAACAACATTAGATTTTTTAAAATTATGTTGAGCTAACTGAAGTATCATAGATATATTCCCTCCACCCACAGCGGAATGTCTGCGGACTTGCGACGCTAGAAACCGGGTTTCGATACACGTGGTGGGCAAACAAACAAATAAAAATATTTGATAAATTAATCGTGAGTTGTTACGAACTCTAAGATTAAAAACTGTTACTACCAACATTTAAGTATTTCACCTTTTTTTTTACTCTATTTTAACCTATCTCAAAGTTTTGTTTTTAAGGCCACAGTTGCATAATAAGCTGTATGTGTGCTTAAAGCATCGATCGAATTCTGAATTTTAGCATTATCAGCCTTCAAGTTTACCATGGAACCAGCGAGGTCATCCCAAAATTAAACATTTTTATTTGATTGTTGACTTACCACATCAGATTCTAAGATGTGTTAATATATGAAGGTGTTAAATTGAAACCTGATTAACAATTAATCGAACAAATACATCAGATTTGACATTAACGTATTTCATGTACTCGTTACGTCACAACGTTACGTCACAATGTGATCTGTTCTAGATATAATTTACACTCTATTTACGTTGTTTTAAAATATGATGGACAGTTACACGTTTAATATATTTGTTTTTTAACTATCTTGTAAAAGTACCAACAGATTAATTATGATTGATAGAAACTGGATATAATTATAGTACCAATGTGGTTTACTGAGAAGATAATAAAATAATCTAACAATAACGTAAATTGCCCTAGAAAATCAAAACTATTAGGCCAAACTTTGTATTTATACCTTTTGCTTAGCACAAATAATCCCTTGTAGTTAAGACTAAACCTACACAACCGGCAACCTGTGGTCTACCCACCGCGGGTATTGAAACCCGGTTTGTAGCGCTGTAAGTCTGCAGACATGCCACTGGGGGACCACTCTATGGGACAAAACTGCATTAGGTATTTGTATTACGGCTTTCTGAGCAAGGAAACATTTAACTGATTTTCATTAATTAAAACATTACTTAGTAGGTGCGGTATGTTACAGATTAATAACTAATAACTTTGTCAGATTATAAACAGTTGCAGAAAAACTGAACGTGGTGGAAGTCCTTTGGGATCCTACCTAAGTTTATCTTTAGTATAACGTTATTAAATTATCAAGCCATATATATAAATAAAAGCGCCATCTAACGTCTGTTTTTAGACCTCACATTACCTTTTTACTAATAGTATGTTTTACGTTTTATTGTAATATTCAAAACATTTTTTTTGTCGGGTATCTAACGTTTCTTTATGTAAATTTCGAGATTTGTGTGTATTGTTTTGTAATAATGTATTGTAGAAATTTTATCCAAACTGTATATTTTCTAAATTATTTAGAACTTGGCCAGATGTAACATTGTACGTAATTATAAATATTTTTCTCGAGGTTTTATGAAAAACAATAATAAATATTCGGTATTATATAATGGACTATTAGTTCTGTTTTCGATATTACCTCAATACCTTCATCAAAGCAACCTACGTAGATATGAACTAACTGGTGAGAATTTTGGATTCATGCCATTATATATATGTATAATATCCATTGGCTATTGTGGCTTGTTTTAAAACTACTAGTAGATTGAAAATCATAATCAAAATATTTCTAATTACTCAAAAATCCCAACCCTCGTAAGTGAAAAACTTTTTAAAATAAATACAAGATAGAAAAATAAGAATAGGCCTGTAATGTCCAGAACACGTTTTATTTAGATTCCATGGCGGAAAATTGGATATAAGTTAAAACGAATTTTGGAAGTTGAGAGATTTTTTTGGTTGTTGTTATTTATTTATTACGAGTATTACACTCGGTGTTGCTCTGCAAATCTTAAATAATTAATGCAAAATATTTACTGTAAACAATTGGTATAACAAAATGAAAACTAGGCCTAAACAAAACTTGAGTATATTGAAACAGTAGAAATATATTCTTCACGAGTGGACCCCTGTTGACCATTTTAAACAGTTTCAACAATATTTATTAAAAATATTTTGCTAAATGCTATCGTTGTTTTAATTCTTAATAAAGATGATAATTATCAAGCAAAATATAAAATTCGGCCTAAAATGGTAGAAGCATATTTCAAAGTTTGTTTTCTTTTATTTATCAAACATAAAAACTTGTTCACCAAAATAATAGACACGTGAGTATTGTATTCAACATAGGTGGATGTCTTGTTTAAAATGATAAAATTCTGTTTTTAAACTACAACTTAAAATGCACTTTTGGGGAAAATATTCTTATTTATCTTGTATTACGTAATAGATACAAACTAATGTTTTCTTAATGCAAAGCTGTTCAATGGGCTATCTGCACCCTGTACACAGCAGGGAATCGAACCTCGGATGTTAGTGTTGTAAGAACGTGAACTTACCGCTAACTCATTAAAAAGAATATTAAATTACAAAAAATATTAGCCCCCAGTGGTTCAGTCTGAAGGCTTATAATGTTAAAAATCGGGTTACGATACCCGTAGATGGCACGGCACAGATAGCCCATTGTGTAGCTTAACGCTTAACAACAACAAACAAAGAAGGTATTGAACAAGATACGATAACAATGATTAAAGGTTATTTATTTTAACGCGTTTCTCTTCCGTCTACATCTGTATTGCTAATATTTGTTTATTAAATTCAGCTAGCTGTAGTGGCCAATCAAAAAGTCAAACTGCCCTCTGTATCGGTGCTAAAAATATATCATACCAGTCTTAACAATGTACACGTGTGTTGTTTTTCCAAACTCATATAAGTATAAAATATAATTAACGTTCTGTTTTGTTTTCATTCTTCTCCTGATATATCACACCAAATGTTCATTCTTCTCCTGATATATCACATAAATGTTCATTCTTCTCCTGATATATCACATAAATGTTCATTCTTTTAGTGATATATCACATAAATGTTCATTTTTTGTGATATATCACACAAATGTTCATTCTTTTAGTGATATATCACATGAATGTTCATTCTTTTAGTGATATATCACATAAATGTTCATTCTTTTACTGATATATCACATAAATGTTCATTTTTTGTGATATATCACATGAATGTTAATTTTTTTACTGATACATCACATGAATGTTAATTTTTTACTGATACATCACATGAATGTTAATTTTTTACTGATACATCACATGAATGTTAATTTTTTACTGATACATCACATGAATGTTCATTCTCTTATTGATATATCACATAAATGTTCATTCTTTTATTGATATATCATATAAATGAGGGGCTAATGAAACGAATGACGACTCATCAGCTAATGAACCAGCAACCAACACTGAATTGACTAGATTACAATGATAAAAATAACCACCTGGTTTGAAAGTAAATTAAACTGGTCGCGCCTTCCTCAACTAGTCGTGTTCCTAATTACTATAATTTATCTTTAATACCAATGCATGGTAGCGCGTGTTTAATTGGAAAATCATTCGCCATAGTGGGGACTTCAAAGACAGACCGGTCGTACCCTGCCAAGTGTAAACAAATGTACAAATATATATATATATATATTCATATTGATGAGAAAACTAACACACTCCAATGCCAATGATTGTTCACCAGTGTTAGAATGACAAACAAAATGTCGGCTGATCGGGTCTAGGGCTGTCACGTGAAACTGTTTGTCCAATCAAAATTGTGCTACAGATATGATGCGTGTCAGTGATAAAAACCAAATCGAATTGTCTGGCAAACGTTTTCGTGTCTCTTTTTTTATGTTTTTAGTTCATAATTTACATGTAGCCATGGTAACGTACAGGCAGCTAAGTAGTCTCGTGGTAAATTAATCACAGATGTGCTAAAAGGATTGGGCCGATACCTTAAGTGGAACGTCCTATTTAAAACTTCGGGGAGTATTGTTTACACGCCAGCTTTTTGTTGTTATTTGTTGTTTTTTTATATTAATGCCATAGAACGTTTACTTAACAACTCAAGATAAAAATACTTAGGCTAATATTTGTATTGTTCAGGATGAGAATGGAAGACAAAAGAAATAATCTCTTTATTATTTTCTTTTTGTAAAGTGTGGTTATAAGTAAACATGGATTTATTACTATTACCAGATGTTCCATTTAACTAGCTAATACGAAGGGTTGGTTACTCACGACCTAGGGCAACATTCACCTTGCCTCTGGCCATACCCGTGGCCTGACTACATAGATTAAAAGCGCAGATAGCCCTTTTTGGAGGATTAGAATGCAGTACTTTCCAGAGCAAATTTCTCCAACTTCATTTGAAAAACATTCAAGACAAAATGTTGGTGTTTTAAAGAAAGAGACGTGTAGTGTTGAACCGTATCGATGAACCAACAGTAAAAATCTGGCTACTCCACGAACTGCTACTGGTCGCACATCGGAAGTAGTGAAAAAAGTTAAACACCTCGTTACAGTAAATAATTCGATAATACAGCGACCCTTTACAGCTAAAGTAGAAACTTCCCCTAGAACTGTTAACGAGACAACTTACACTCATCCAATATTCAAAAGCGTCCCAAGAGCCATGTTCGCAAGTTTTTTTGACAAAGTGCATAGCTAATCAGAGATCAACTATCGAAACCTGCTGAGCAATAACTAGCATGTGACAAAGTGAAGTAACCACCACAAAAACGGCGAATTTTTGAAATCTCGATAAAAAAATTCCAAGATTAACTCTGCCACCATTATACTGCAAAGAAGAACCGTCTTTGTTCTGACTGGATATCAATTAGCTGTGGCTATGTTTAGGCAAAGCATCCAGTCATATGTTCAAGTTAACATGCCAGTTCCACTTCAAGGTGCAAGTCAGGAGGCCTGTCCGTTAGGGAGCGCTCGATTCGCAACCCGCGGATTCAAATCCCTGTCACATTGAACATGCTCACTCTTTCAGTCGTGGAGGCGTTATAATGTGATGGTCAATCTCACTTTTCGTTGGTAAAAGAATAGCCCAGGAGTCGGCGGTAATTCAAAACAAACAGGAACTCGTGATTCACAGTCATCTCCCACAAACTTCTGTACCTAAAAAGAGACCCTCTGAAGTCATCATTCATACATGGTTGATTAGGATGACCAGATTTCCAAACCGAGACAGTCCAGTCTTTGCCCTTAATTTCAAAATGGTTATTACAAATTTTAAATAATTTAACTTTTATTTAATTTGCTTGAAATTTATTGAACTCTTCCATAATATATTAATATTGGCATTGTTTTTATAATAATTTCAACTACGTTTTTTTGTTGTTGTTTTTGGTGACAGACACACATTCACCAACTGCTATAGGTCTACTACAGTACTACTAACTAAAAAACCTGAGCAGACCTGGGTTTCTTACTACATACAGACAGAATTTTCTAGATAGTGTGGCGGCAAGAGAGCACGTGCTAAAACGATGAGCAAGTTAAATAGCCTAGTAGATTCGTGATTCGTTGTGTCCGACAGTTCGACGTCTTTTTATGATAAGACCGGGACGTTTTGTGCTTCCTGGGGAACTTTTCTCAAGACCTGGGACAAAGTACGGGACTGTTCCGACAAAACCGAGACGTCTGGTTGCCCTATCGTTGATGAAAGGCATGTAAATAACGGGGGGGGGGCATTAACTTCGGTGTGTAGCGCAGCAAATAGTTAATAACGAGGATCATCACTGTTGGTAGTGGAACAAGTTCTAAGACCTACGTAATCATCTTATTTCTATGGTTACAATAGGTCGTAAACGCCTTCTGCACATGACATATCAAACCAGGGATATATATCATATTTCAATTTGAAATAACCATTAGGTTTTTATTTCCATCATACAACAGCTAGACCAATAAAAGGCACTGGCCCTTGGCAATAAATTCAAGGTTCGGAAACTTTTAGCACTGACTAACAACATAATCATATTCGAATGTAACAGTCAGATACCCGAAACCCATTTGCTTTATTGGGACGAAAAAAAAATGAAGGATGGAAAAATCTGTAATTTCGGTGATAGTCCATTCTTGACGAGTCCCTTTTTCGAGATGTTAAGTGGTGCTGCCATCTGTCGTGCGGTTGTTAAAGTAAAACTAGTTCCTTTCCGTCCACGTGGATGTAGGCCGGCATGGCCAGGTGGTTAGGGTACTCGACTCGCAATCTGCGGGTTCGAATCCCCGTCACACCACACATGCTCGCCCTTTCA